AAGAGGAACAAAAGTGGAATTGTTAGCTCACTCACACACCTGCAATGCATTCTAAATAAACCCCTCTGCTAGCACTAAAATACTAAGATATGCACAACAGGGAATTACTAAATAGCAAATGAGGATCTAATTAGTCTGAACCCAAGACAAATGGCCTGTAAATACAGGACTTCCACAAATGGGGCTCTTATCTTGGGAGAGCTCAGGTTTAACCTAAAAGATGCTTAAGGCAGAATAAAGAAGTAGAAAACCAATTTCTAAACTTGTTTTGAGGAACGCAATAAGAGCTGATGCGCTATAAAACATCCGATCCTACACCTTCTAAGAGTTAGAACGTGTACGAACCACGGCCTTCAGTATTACAGGAAGCTGTGCTAAATGGAAGCACATCACTTTACCAGCTACTGAGATACTGTTGCATGATTTCAGACACCGTTACCTACAGGACTGCTTTCAAATTTTGTTTTGCTTTCAGTCTAGAGTCTTTTCTCATGCAGGTCTGATCTGATTTCTCCGTTCCCTTGACCGTGCAAATCCTATGAGAAGCTGTTAAACAAGTCAGCTCTTCAGTGTAAGAGCACTGCAGCAACTGAGAATAATTCAGACTGCACTACACAATGCTCAGAGGTTAAACGATAAGGACTTAAAATGTGAGTAGTGGACATTATACGCCTATATGATTATACTTTTATCGATGTTATACAAGATTAACTTTCATATAGGCCTTACAAGACCAACAAGTATACAACATATACTCATGAAGAATGAAAGAAAGCAACAAAGTACAGAGTGAGCAAATGATTATGCAGGAATCTTTTCTTCATATTATTTCATGTTACTGCATGTAAACATTTTCTGACCAATAATATAGTGACATTTAAAGGCTTTGAGAACAAGAGATAAGATACTTTGCCCTCCATATTTATTCTTGTCCTTGTTAAATATAACTGGAAACATGACTCAGCAGAAAAAAAATTGATGACTCGGGAATGTTTGTTTTGCGCAGATGGTTTGAAAAACCCTTATTTTTAACAGTAACAAAGAAACGTTAGCATCAGATGTTTTCCAAAGAATGTAGTTCTGATGCAAGAATACCGTGTTGAAAAGTGTTTTAAAATTTATACATTTATAAACTGCAGAAAATTCTATTGTCTGGACATTCGAAAGGCTTTCACTAAATCCCTATTTCTGTGGGGTATAAAAGGATGTAACAAAGCAGTAAGGACACTCAGTAGCATCCACTAGCATGGTAAAGGATGAAGACCTCTCAGAAAACAGCAGGCAAGGAGTTGCTTATCACCACAAGTGGTGACTATAAAAAAAAAAATCCAAAAAAAGAAAACTACCAGTTTCCACCAAAGTGTCCAGCCTTAAGAAATTCAAGGACAAAGTTTACATAGCCAGAAAGAGGAAGCAAGAGAATATTACCACCATGTGCTGTGGTAACTATTTCGGTTGAATCCAAGACTAAAAGTTTCAGATCTCTACGACAGTCTGACATCATGAAGATAAAACGTCTCGAAAACTACTATTTGATTTGATATTGACTCCCTGTTTATGGTGTTCACAGCAGAGTTGCAAGGAAGAACCCTATCCTGTAGGCTCTGCACCAGAACGGCAGGTATGAATTCGTCAAACTATACGAAAATGACAGCTGGGAGTGAGTCTGAAACGAAAATTGAGCTTTATGGACATTCTCGCCAGCATAAAAGGGTGAGGCACACGCTGAGACAAACATCATGCCCACCGTGAAATATGGATGTGGACCTATTTTGGTCTGGTCTTGTCTTGAATCTTCTGGTCCTGAGTCACTTTTTAGAATTGAAGGATCAATGAACTCGTGAACCAAAACACTTTGGGCAAATGTATTCGTCGAGTCTACTAGGAGGATCGACTGGTCTAAAATGGATATTTCAGCACGACTGGGATCTCAAGTATGCATCACAATCTATTAAGAAATGGTGAAGTGAATATAGAATCAATGTTCTTGACTGGCAATCCCACTCCCAGAACTGAATCAAATCGAACATTTTTTCCAATCTGAACCCCATAGAACAGTTTGGA